TTGCTGTCCATTTCTGTGGTTTTTCTTCTAAAAAGGTGATTAACATCCTCTGACTCCAAACTACCACGAGGTTACCCAGCAGCAGCTTTGCAATTAGCCACTTATTCCCAACCATCAACCAGGTACAAAAGAGACAATATGAATTTGGGCATTGAACCCCCCACAAGGCCTTGAAATCTTGTTTCTAAATCCATGTTCTTACAAACAGCACTTCTAAAAGAAAATGATAATTCATCACCTCTGGCTGTCTCTTTGCTAAACAGCTGCTAAAAAGCAAAAAGCCCTTCATTGTATTGAAGTGCTCCGACTTCCTGTAATAACAAATCTGATAGTAAATGTAAATATTTGTGTGTTAAGTGTTTAGGTTAAAGCCCTAAAGCTGAATCATACTTTAGCATATTCAATAAACTCCTGACAGCAGCCTAGCAGAAGTCATATCTCAAGAAAAACCTCCTCAGTGCCTGTGCCCCTGTAGGAAAGGCTGGTGGATGGTAATGTCTGTAATTTATAGTTTGAGACTAAATTAGAGTTAATGCCCAATTTGGAGCTTTGGATTTAGGTTTAAGACACTAGCTGGGATTATACATGGTGCAGATGAATGTAGCTCTAAGCACTGCTAAGGATGCAATATCATCCAAAATAAGAGCTAGGGAAGTCTTGGGTTTTGGTTGCAGAGTTTCCAGTACTCATCATTTTATTATGATTATTATTGCTGTTAGTGTTTCCTGAAAGAAATCCCAGCTTTCAGTCGTGTGAATTATTTGAGAATCTCAGTAGCCATTAAAAAATAAGTTCTATCCCCCAAGACTGCAGAAATGAGCTGAAAAGTGTGATTCAAGTGCACCCTCAGCAATTAAGTAAATTAACCCAACAGAAATCAAAATAGATTAGCATATCAAAAGAAGCCAAAAATATTTAGCATGATAGTTTTTAATCAAACCCCAGGGTTTGGAGAAGAAGTAGCTCATATTTTTTTTAATACTTCAGCCTGCCAGAGTGCAACCCAGCCTGACAGCAGAAACATTTGATTTTTCTCTCATGATAGATGCAACAGATATAATACCCTGGGATTATGTATATGATGCAGAAAAGTTATGGAATCACAGCTTGATCATTTAAGTGATTTTTGTATTCCTATAATGCTTAATGTATAACCACAGGCAAGTTTGTGATCCATTCCTCCTTTGCCAAACATGATATTGATTGTTGCTCTAAAGACAGTTCAGTATAGACAGTGAGTAGTCTGAAATTTCCCACTCATGATGGTAAAGAAATCAGACTGCTGTTTATCTGTAAGATGTGTTCCTCTGAAACACTTTAATTCTGAGAAACAAAGCAGCGTTTTGCTTGCTGGTTAATCATGGGTTTAGCCTGTGACTTGACTGAGGAATGTTGTTGCTGAACAGGAGCTGGAGATGTTAGAGAGCAGCAAAGTACAGAACTTTGTGTTGTGAAAAAGGCCTTATTGGGGGGATAAGAAAAAGGGCTGAAATACTGAGGAACTGTGAAATGCTTGTACAGGATACAGGGGTTCCTGACTGCCCCCAGAAAGGCAACAGCAGCAGAAAGGAAGCATTTCAGTGGGAAGGGATAAATCCCACGAACACGGTATGAGGGGTTTGCTTTTCCACGGGCAGATCAACGCGGCAGAGCCGGGCAGAGCGCTGAGCTGACTTTGGGGCATCATCATCCAAGTCTGCATCCCCATTGACCCTTTTCTGGTGATCACACCACCCAGTTGGCTTTTCCAGCTGCCCCCAGAGCCTCAGCCGTTCAGTGTGTGTGTCATTACACGTTGTTTGCCACGAAACCCCCCGCTCCGGAGGAACGCGCGGGTCCCGGGGCTTCGGAGGGTTCTGGAGGGTTCTGGA